TACTTCCTCAGTCTGAATATTACACATATTAGTCCTCGCACTAGTCTTCACACTAAGTCCTCGTAACAGTTCTATTCCTCCGACTTAGTAATCATCCATCTCAGGCCTAGGGAGGAATTGCCTAGGCCGGAGCTCCGCTCCTCCGCTTCTCCGATCCACCATTCCTCTAATCCTCCAAGTTTCCGGAAGTTCCTCCGGAACTTTCCCGCGGTCCTCCGGACCTATTCTGCTTCGGACTTTGTCCTTGCAGCCTTTCCTCTGTTTGCTTCTACTCAGGACTTGTCCTGAGTAGCCATTACACATATCCCCATCAGGACGAAACTCCATCATAATTTCCGGAACTTTCCCGCACTCATCCGGAAGTTTCTCGCACTCGTCCGGAAAGTCCTTCCGAAGTTTCCCACACTTCTCCGGAAGTCCTTCGGACTTCACTGGACTTTCTCCGGACTTCATTCTGAAGTTAAGGGCACATACTTGGGTAAGGGGCGCACTGCACAAGCTGAAGCCAAGCCCCTTGGAATCAGTCCTACCCTTTGTGCATGGTTTTAACACTCACGTGCGTTCACGTCTGACGGCTCAGTCTACTCGAGCACTCCTATGCCTCGGTTATTGGAGCCACCTCAACCTCGTCAAGATGGAAGATGTTGTCAAGATTAGTTCCCTACCTGATGTTGAGGATGCTAACGAGCAAGAGCTCGAGGATGGTTGGGACCGCATTGAGTAGCTACATAGTCTTTTTTTGTAGTATTTCATTATATAGTATGCTATACCCTCAGGGTATACCCACCATGGGTGGTACCCTGGGTGTTATATCCTCGTACCCATCACTACACCCATACCCTCAGCGCGGGTATGGGTACATCTCCGGGTAAGGGTATGGGTGGCACCTGTGATACCCCGGGGTTTACCCGTGCACATCCCTAATGGTGAGGGCAAGGATGAAGGGAAAATGATAGGGGGCCAAGTGACCGATGTTACTTGTAACACCCACCCACCCTCGCAGCTCACCTCTCTCTTTCAGGTTAGTCCCTTGGGGCCAGAAGACGCTGCATGTCCTCGCTGTAAGATTAATAGAATCACGCGGGTCTGTAAGATACGGACACTCTGCTCAAAGTAAGTAAAGGTGAATATATGTGGAAATGTAAGTATCTCACCTCAGTCTTGCGCGCAAAGGCAAACGTCTGAGGTGACAGTCTGATTCTGTAGCTGTCTAAATAGAATGAAAGATCTTGTTATGACAAACGAGTCTGAAACCATGACAATGGTATATCTGGCACTGGCCAAAGCAAAGAAAGGTTTCATAGGTACAATGATAGGTAAGTTCATAAGAGCGCACAAGAGAATAAAGTAAAACAATAACGGAGAACATACGAGACAATCAAGCACCTCTCAGCTGCGGACACACTTCCGATTCTAATACTCGCCCAAAAACTCTCATTGATCATCTCAGAAGTAATTCGTTTAGAACTCATTCATTGCCTTGTCCCTCATTAGATTACCATATAACAAACCATCCTTTCCTTCAGAACACATCTGAGTAAACCTCAAAGACCCGAAATAGCGAGAAGTGAGACTTGCGAATTGCTGAAGAACTGTACAGAGGATGCTGACAAATATAAAGGAGGCTGTAGGCTGACAAACATAGAGAAGCAAGGATCCATCGAAATATTGCAAATGCTGAAAATATAACCAGCTGACAAATATAAAGAACCAAGGCCCAAGGGGTACAATCAAAAGAATGGACGACGTGATTAAAAGAAGCAAAAAATGATCGTGAGAACAGGCTAAACGAAAGCATCACTTTTGGATTCACCAGTGATATATCACTAACACATTAGCCGCTACTGCTGTATGGAATACTATGTAGCAGAGCAATTAATGTATTATATTTTCACTACTGCTGTAGAATAAATGATGTATCAATATCACAGTATAGCCTGGGAAAGACAGGATATCGAAATATTCAAAATAAACAGGTCAGAGTCCAGATCAGATACCGAGAACTCGATTTCCCCTAACAAGTTGGATGATATCCACTGGTGGCGGCAAAGGAGAGATAATCTGCTAGGTTGTCATACGGGATAGTGCGTGTATCGCAGAAACCGGTCCATGCGCTGATAATACCCCAGAACTCAACGACATAGTCAGTGCTTGAAAACGAAAACATATTCATAGTCATTCTTCAGAGATCTCGTGATAACTCACGAGGTTGGATACGGCCCATCATTGTCGGTTTTCTCGGGCATCCCTCCCAAAGTTCCACCGAGGGATGTCCATGTGCCTGTCTGTTGGTAAAGCTCGTCAAGTTATCACCATAGCTCAAGTGACAACTTACCAAGCCCCCGTAGTATGCATCGATCACGTTTTGTTGAGTCATTGACGCTGCTCCACCCGTCATATTATAGAACACTGCTTCAGAAAGCTTCGCCTCTTGAGCAGTAGTGGGCACTGGAGAGGCATTTAACGGGTATACTTGTTGCAGTAGGACATCAGTGTTGCTCCACGCATAGCAGAAGCTCGCGAGAACGCAGTATTCATTTTGGAAGAGACCCTGGGTCACCCAAAATTCACACTGAGTAGCCATTTCGGTGCATGAACCATTGTCTGTTATCGGTTGGGGGACACATGGGATCATTTGGATGGTTGGCACCGTTGTGCTAGTGTTGCACGATGCCACTGCGGGACACACTCCGGGGACAGATGAATACTCAAGCCAGTCCTGGAAAACATGTAAGGAGAAATATTATTGTCCAAAAACAACGAATACACACAACAAGGTTTGCATAAGGAATGTTTCCAGTAGCGCAGAACCCGGTCCAAGCAGCGATGGTCGACCATTGATCAGTAATGTAAGTGACGCTGCAAATAAATTTAAATCGTCAAGAGTCCGAACCCCGATATATTGTAGGAAGACTTACTCGTCAGGGTAGGAGCCGCCAGGAGTGATGGAAATCTGATGATAATACGCATTGATGTAGTTTTGTTGGGTCATGTACGAATTCCCATTTGTTATAGCATAGAAAACCTATAGTACCACCAGATCAGCAAAGAACACAAATATCAAGCTTTATTCGGACAGATTCAGTCAGCCGGGGTTGAGTCGCAGGCGCTTTGGATACGTTGAGGACTTGTGCAGGGCTCTCCATGCCAGACAAACATGCAGTTAGGAGGAAACACGACGTGTAGTTATAAAAGTTGCTGAGATCAACCATGGTCGCATTACAGCTGTTTTGGAGCGAGACACATGACTTGAAGGCGGAGGCTAGTCCACTGATATCCTGCCTTGGAATGAGTGACGAGGGAAGGGCAGTAACGAGGCCTATGAGAGCAAGGTAGAGAATGGATATTAGTGTGTTCATTTTTACTAGGCAGAGACACTAAGAGGAAGGACAGACAGGATCACAAAGATACCAGACAAACCGGCGAACCTCAAAATACTTATAGGTAAGAGATCGGCTGAAATGAAGTTCATACCACATATCTCTGTGCTTGGGGTGGGTTGTTGACCCGATTACCCGCATTCAAATGTCATCAAGAACGGAAACCTGCGGAAGCGGGAATGACTAAACACACGATGGTCATGTAACCACGTCGAACGCGACTGCAGGACACCCGCAAGTTTGCGTTGCGATGCAACATCCTGACTCCTGTGAAAGTCAGGCGTGGTGGACGGTCTTGAGGGATGCGTGGCACATCACGACCTGTGTCCTAGTTTGCATAGCACAAAGTCCGCATGACTCGATCTCGTGAAGAGATTCAGCGCTGGCAGCGAGGAATGACAAGTCGGTTAGAGCAAATGGGGTTGAAGTAGGAACTCTTGCCTCTCAAGTCCATCGAGTTATGTGAAGTTCGTTGAACGTTCGACGTTCATTGGCATATGGAGCAAGTACGATTTTGAGTCTTTGAACTTGAGTCTGAGACAAATGTAGTTCAAATGAAAGCTTCAAATTGAACTCAGTTACGCTGTTACACAGTGTAACGGAACGAAATTAATTTTGGCCCAACATATCGAATTCAAAAAGATAGTCACCGTTAACGGTTCTTTTCAGCGTTACGAGCAAAGCGATAGCAACAACCCACGCCAAGAAACGAAGAGTCATCAGTATGTACATGCCCATTTATCATTTGTAATGCATGGATTTATGAAAATCGTTATAGTACTTGACCACGTTCCTTGACAACTTACACGGTAGTGCTACAGCTACAGTCTACAGGCCTACAGCCACTTCCTGTCGATGTAGCTAGTAGTCGTAGTGTTCTTAGCATGCAACTTTGAGACTTTCAACAATGAACATGCCTGAGAGACATCAGATATGAAACTGTTTATATATTTTCTACAGTTGCGAACTTCAAAGACCATGAGGCAGGAGGAGTGCGCACCCCGCTTTGCGGCGTGTGATGATTGCCGCTTCTAGCATTCAGACATTGCAAAATATCTGAATTTGCTAGTCTACAAAATCATCAATGCATCATAATTACAATAGATATATCAACTACAAAGCATACACACAGCCAATCAACCAGGCAATGACAGGCACAACATACAGCAAACAGATCACTAAAGGACGCCACGAATGGCATGCCATAAATCAGAGAACAAAATAGAAAATAAAGGTATGAGAGAAAGAAAAGTAACAGAGAAATAATGGTATGAGGAAAATAGATAAAGATATGAGATGGCAGACATACAAAGATTCGATGCAATAATGCTTCGGTACCATGGCCATAAAACAGTGCAGATGAGGGGTATCGACTTCGACTTTGAGATTTGAAATATGACTGCGACGTTATATGTCGGATCAGTACCGTGTATCAAGAGAAAATATGCGTAGAGCAGGCGTGTCCGAGAGCGAGCGAGTAATTGAGGGGGATGACTATATGCGGGCGGGGATTAGTGATGCGCCGGGACAGGGCGGGTGAGGTCTAAATTAGTATAACCCTCTGTGGGGTCGTCGAAACTTGAAGCGGAACAATTGATGCTGCGTCGTTGCACAGCAAATCTAAGCAGGCACAACCCTTCTCGTTGCCTTCACCCCTCTAGCGTTCACAGCCACCATCACATTCTCCTTCTCATCAACCTCACTCGGCACGCTCGAACTAACACTGACCCTCCTCGTACCAGAGGCAACAGGCGTCTTCAAATTACTCTCTACAGAGCTCGTCGACACCCGCCGCGTCGCACCCATCCCAAGACCACTGGGTCTTGGAGTCGTGTTTGATTTGCCGAGGGACGAAGGTGCGTGGGATGTAGATGAAGCTAGGGATGTTCGGGTGGGGGGTGTAGTTGTAGCAAGTGATGAACGGGATTTAAGAGCTGGAGGCCCCATTTTGCCAGGGGGGTTGGCGGTGGCATTGATACGCACGTTGCGACTGAGACTGCTCAGGCTCGCGCGAGGCGCTAAAGATGTAGAAGGCGTTTCCGATTTCCCGTCTTTCGATGCGTCTGACATAGACGAGGGAGGTCGGGATGAAGAAGGGGTTCCAATCATCGATTCACGCCTTATAGCCCTGCTTGGGACTGGGGTATTTGATGCCGCAACACTCTTCAGCGAAATCTTTCTCTTGATCTAATATCACGTGAGACACAAAACTAAAGATATTGAAGGAGGACTCACGAGTTCAAGTTCTTGTTGTTTCGAATCCAAAGCGATATTAAGCCCGTTGACATCCTCCCGATCTCTCTCTCGTTCCTTGCGCAACTGCACGATAGTCACTTCACGCGCAGCACTCGTCTGCTGCATCTCGTGCACTGTTCTCCTTAGCTTTGCAACTTCATCCATTAACGACCCCACGCGCTCTTTACTCATGCTCAACATAATATCGCTCTCTGCCTTTTCCCGTACTGCGACTTCAAGCTGCATGCGCAGGTCTTTTTCTTGGGTTTGGAGATCTTGGAAAGTACGGGTTTGGGAGGAGAAAGCGCGTGAATGCTCAACTTTGAGAGTGGCTAGTTCTTCCCGAAGGGATTCAGCTTCATCTCTGTGTGTGAGGAGGGTGGTGGTCAGGGTTGAGATGGAGGCGTCGCGTTCTTTGATGTTGGATTCGAGGCGGGAGACATTTTCGTTCGCAAAGGCGAGTTCGGCGGTTAGGGATGTAATGTGGGATTCGTGCTGTGATATGTTAGTGAGATCAATTGGAAAGAAGGTGACGCCGCACCTCTTCAGTGGTTCGCTGGAGTTCTGATTCGAGTTCGATGCGCTGGTTCTCGCCTTCACTCCATTCTTCTTCCATGTTCAGGAACTTGGTTTCGAGAGATTCAAGGTCGGATTTGAGAACTTCGTTGTCGTTCTGGAGGTCTTCAATGTTGTCGTGGAGTTCTGCAGATTCTCGGTGGGCTGCGTCGAGGTCCCCGTGCGCAATTTCGATGGCGGTGGCGTGTTCTGAGTTGATACGCTCCAACTCTGAAGAAATACGCTGAACAGCATCAGCGAGGGCGTTCTTGTCCGTCTGGAGAGCCTCGTGAGCATTGACCATTCGCATTCGTTCTTCTGCCCATGCCAGTTCAATGACCTGATGCCTCTCTCGTTCCTCCCTGCTTGCTACGATGAGAGCTTCCTCCGCCATCGAAGACCGCACAGAATTAGTTGTGAGGTAATCCATCTGTTCTCTGGCTTCCTGAATCCCTTCGCGCAAGACACGTTCCGCGTCATCTCGACCCTTCAACTCCTCATGCAGTTTGTTCAGCTCCGCTTCCTTTTCATGGAGCTGTTCGCGCAAGTGAGCTGTATCCGCATGGTCTTGCAATGCTTCCTTTTCGCGTTCGAGCTGTGATATTTGGCGATGGAGCATGCGAAGGGCTTCACCGCTCGCCTCGTCCATGACGCTGCGCTCGAGATTTTCTTGTCGGGAAGTGTCGACTTCTTCTTCGAGGGTACGACACATGCGCTCGAGCTCACCTGCTTTCTTCTTCCAATTACGCAAGACGTTTCTGCTCTTTTCTTTTTCCTTTTCGGCGACTTCTGTGCGTTGGGTAAGAGCTTGAACAAGTTCATCTCTAGCCCCGAGGTCGATCTCGTACTGCGCACAGAGTTCCTGTGAGAGCGCTAGTTGGGTACGTAGGTTCCAGATAATGTCTTCCTCTTTGGAAGCTGTGCGGGAGTGTGTTGGTTGTGGAGGGGTAGGAGGAATCATTGTTCCTGGTGTGTAGTAGGTCGTTGCATTTGCGCGGAATGGGTCTGGTGGCTCCGAAACGAGTACGAGTGAAGCGTTTGAAGTGTCATTGATGTCAGCTTCTGGTGCGTGTTTTCTGAGCATTATTTGGAATACTGTGTCGCTGAGTGCGCGGGAGCGACGGGTTCGTGGTGGAGGGGAAGTGGGTGGGATGCTTATGTCGCCTGAAAATGTAGAGCTTGTGGGAGACAAGGCGAAGGAAGGGTCTGCGGGAATTTCTGGGAGGCCTCTGAAGGGAGTTGAAGTTTCTAGAGGGGGGCCTTCTGGGATTTCGATGGCCGTATCTAGCATCGGTGTTTTGAACCCTTGTGGTATTTCAATTCCAGGACTCAAGTTGAATAAATTTGAAGAGTCTGCTTCTCCGAATACGTCCATTGCAGAAGGACGAGCGACTCGTGCTAGACGATCTGCGAATGAGATTGGAGATGGCTCGGAGGTGGAAGCTGAAGCATCTGGGCTGATGGCTTTGTGGGCACCTCGAGAGAAGAAACGGACGTTTTGGCCAGTTCCTGGTGTCTTTGGATCACGGAGAATTGACCTGACGCTGCCTTCGAGTGAGGGTCGAGATGAATCTCGAACTGTGTCAGATGAACCTCGAGTAAGAGACACTTGTGAACCTGTTTAAATGGTCAGAATACAAACCAATGGAATAGAAAACACTGACTATCTGATCTTAAGTGAAGATGTGACCTGACTTTCTTGGGTAGACTGAGCTTCTTGGTAGTCTCGTGAAATACGGATAAATTTGGATGTTGCTCATAGACTCTTGACAGAACGTCTGTTGGTTGATCTTGGTCGGCGTCCTTGGTTGGTTTCAGAGCGTTGCTTAATTTCAACCACATCGTCGATGACGATGACGAGAGGTTCTTGCAATGGTTCAAGATTGGTTCAAGAAGAACAATACTTGGTTCATTTTGAACGCGTGATCACATGACTTCCGCGTAAAACATCACGTGAATTGTGGACTTACCGGGTCCACCGGGGTCCGGCAACGACGACGAGCTCGATAACAACTGACATTGAGCCCGACGACGATGACAGTTATGGGTTCATCTAAACTTCCAGTCTTGTTGCTCCCTCATCCATTAATTCTACTACCAACTGCTCGACTCACGCTTCCTATCAGTCGTTCACTCGCTGACGCTATTCTCTCGCTCTTGGATGATTCAGATGCAGTTCTCGCTGCCATTCCACTTCCAGCTCCTGACTCGCCCTCAGAGGTTACATACGGAACTGCTGCAAGAATAGCGCGTCTTGTAAGACCAAGAAATCAATCTTCTCCCACTCAGCCCTATCTACTTTCCCTCCACGGTGTAGAAAGAATTCGTTTCCCCTCTCCAATTCAGATAGACCAATTAGACACTCTTCCTGTTCATAATGTCGTCTATTCTTCTTCTGATGGAATCCCCTCAAGAGACACAGTCGAAGCATTCAAGCATGCTGCTCTCGTACTCCTCGACCGTCTCGCAAAGGACTCTCCGCAACCACAACGCAAAGACGACTGGCTAAGAGTAGCTGCAATAGTAGAGGATATCTCGGAGCAACGCGCTGCCTGGATGGCAGATGTCCTCGTAGCTGCTGTATCATCTCAATACCCGGACAGACTTGGTCAGTATTTTTCATTTCTCATGTCTATTCATTAATCTTTCTGCAGCATTCCTCGCTGCTACTGAGGTAGAAGACCGTCTCCGTCGCGCTACAGAACTCTTCGTCAAACAGTCTTCCATTCAGGAAGTGTCAAAGAAGATCGCATCAGCCGTAGACGAGTCATTTTCCCGCCAGCAGAAGGAATACTTCCTTCGTCAGCAATTAGCTGCGATTCAACGCGAACTTCATAGTTTACAAAGCTCTCCTGCTAGTGTTGGTCCTGGGTTCGGTACAGGAGGAGCTACAAGCGAGTTGGACGATGACGACCAGGCAGATGCAGATGACCTTGCCGATTTACGCCGCAAGATTGAAGCTTTAAACGTTAATTCAGAGGAACGCAAAGTCGGCGTTCGCGAGTGGCGCAGATTGAAGAGGATTCCTCAGGGAAGCGTCGAGAATGGCGTTATTCGCTCATACGTGAGTACAATCCACATATCAAAGGTCTATACTCAGTACCGTACAGCTCGAATGGCTTACATCTATGCCATGGCCATCAAACTCAACCACTACCCCTCTTGACGTTCTAAAGGACCCCAGTTTCCTCACCAGGGCACGGTAAGTTGCTCCCTTACCGTCTGTTCTCCACTCACTCCCTGTTAGCGCGCAACTCGACGCTGATCATTACGGCCTCGACCAGATAAAACGCAGACTTATGGAATACCTCGCAGTCGTGCGTTTGCGCGCCATTGCGGATACAGCTCAGACCCAAGCTCAGGGGGACACCCCCTCGACGGATGCTTCCCTAGGTGTTACCCCCACCCCGCCGAAGAAGAGCAAGGGCGTAAAGGGACCAATACTCTTGTGCGTGCATCTTGCATATCATGGGCATAACCGTCGAATAGTTATGCAGGTTCGTCGGTCCCCCTGGGACAGGAAAGACATCTCTCGGACAATCTATCGCAAAGGCTTTGGGAAGGCCATTTCAGCGGATATCACTAGGCGGCGTTCGGGATGAAGCAGAGATCCGGTCTGTATCCCCTTTTCTCACCTTACTCAACAATTGAGTTTAGTAACAGGGGACACCGGAGAACCTACGTAGCATCTGGTCCAGGCTCCATCGTTCAGGCTCTCCGGAAAGCCGGCAGAAACGATCCCGTTATATTATTGTAAGGTCCGGAATTTCAGCCAGGGATGGTTGTAACGTTGAAATTGAATGAACAGGGACGAAGTGGATAAAGTAGGACATAGTAATTTCCATGGTGATCCGGCTGCTGCTCTCCTCGAAGTTCTTGATCCTGAACAGAATCATTCATTTAATGTACGTTTCCTTCGCATTGGTATTGTCCGTGATGGATTTGACTGATTGTGGGGATGGTGATGATGCAGGATCATTATATTAATGTACCCGTTGACCTCAGTCAGGTGCTTTTCATATGTACATCGAATACCCTAGACACGATATCTGCGCCTTTGCTGGATCGATGCGAGGTGGTTGAATTATCAGGTGAGTTTCCCTACCCCACAATCATCAGCATCATCTCGAATTAACACACCCCAAGGATACACCTACGACGAGAAATTGCACATCGCGAAACGTTTTCTCCTCCCAAAGCAAATCAACGCCAACGGGCTTTCGGATTCTCAGTTAACGCTGACCGATGATGCACTGTTGCATGTGGCTACGATGTATACACGGGAAGCGGGTGTTAGGAGTTTGGAGCGGGCAATCGGGGCTGTTGTTAGGTTCAAGGCTGTGGAATGGGCCGAGTGGCTTGATAAGGGGAACGATGCCGCGGGAGGGGAGGGGAACGCGATGAGGAACGAGAACGGCAACGAGAAACAGGACGGGAACACGAATGAGAACGGGGTTGGGAATGAATGGCGAGCAACAGTAGAACCCCATGAACTCGAAAAGATCCTTGGTATACCCCGGTGGGACGGCGAAGAACGCGATCGGGAGGAAAAACGGGGCGTCGTATACGGGCTCGTAGTCACCGGTATGGGTGAGGGGGGTATCTTACCCGTCGAAAGTACCGCTCTTCCGGGGACGGGAAGGTTGAAGCTTACGGGGAGCTTGGGGGACGTGATTAAGGAAAGTGGGGAGATCGCATTGAGTTGGGTGAAGACGCATGCTTTTGAGCTGGGGATCACGGCTGGGAGGGGGGTTGATCCGCTCAAGGTTCCGGATGTGATTGATGTGCACTTGCATTTGCCTGCTGGGGCGCAGAAGAAGGATGGGCCCAGTGCGGGCATTGCTATGGTGCGTTTTCTGTGTGGTGTTTTTTGGAGGGAATGGATTGATGGGTGACTAGATATGCGCATTTGTGTCTCTTTTGAGCGGGGCGTGTGTTCCAAAAGATATTGCTATGACAGGAGAGGTGCGTGCCCAGTGATATAGAATAAAGCGCGTTCTGATTCGGATTTCTGTCTAGATCACACTTCGCGGGCGCGTGACGCCCGTAGGTGGAATTCGAATGAAAGTGCTCGGTGCGCACCGTGCACAGATCCGCAAGGTGATCTTACCGTGGGCGAACCGTAAAGATGTGGAACACGACGTGGCTTTGGAAGTCCGTCGGGAAATGCAATTTTTCTTTGTCAGGACTATCGACGAGGCTCTTGAAGCTGCGTTTGGGCGTGGTGCGTTGGGATGGAGGAAAGAGACTGTTCTGTTGGAGAGCAGACTGTAATGTAATTTCTCTTCGGATCGCTTTGTGTACCATTCATCTTGGTCGTTGCTTTCTTTCGATCTTATCGCTATGTATGTACTCCCTGTATTCAATCTTGTATTACACAAAGATTCCTGAACGATGCCTCTGATTCTGATTACTCGAAGGAATGATAACTAACTAATTGTGGAATAGGAAGAGGATTCGATAAGGGATACAAAGGACAGGGCGCAAAACCGCTTATGTAGAGAGACTCCTACTTGCAACACCTCCAGCTTTCGAGTTCGTTGGAGAAAAAAAGAACAAAAACAGTAGTAAGACCGTCTTCTATTACATGCAGATGCAAAAAAAATGATATCCATGTGCCTCCTTCAGATGGCGATTGAACTGACGGATGAGGAAAAACAAAGTGACAGAATGAGAGAATGAGAGATAGATCACGTGCAAGGGATGAGATGTATATTAGCGTGGAAGGGGTGTCTATGCGGTCGCACGTTTGATCATCTGGGTGGTGGAAGATTAGTGTTCTTGGAGACGAAGAAACAAGAGGAAAATACTCACTTCACGTGCCCACCGCAGCGTCTTCTTCGTCTCTTGCTGCATACCGCGCTTACTACGGAATTCATGTGCGATCCATTCTTCTAGCAGGTGTTCTTTGATCTGGCCGTTGGGGAAACAGTCTGCGAGGTCACCGATGAGGCCAAAGGAGAGTTTCACAATGGAGTCGGATCTCTCCTCGTCTGCTAGACATTGGTGGACGAGCTCGAGGATGCTGGGTACGTGAGGGAGTAGTGCGGGTGCTAGGGACGATTGTAAGTGGCAAAATGAGTCTACAAGAAAAACGCAAACTTTTCTCGGTATTCTTGAATCCAGTGACAACCCCAGTGTATGCCTCTAGAATTCCTTCCCGTAGTTGAGCGACATAGTCCATGAGATCAAAGTCAAGCTAATGAGCACCAGTTAGCACTGAACACATTCAGAAATAAACCAGCTCACAGGGTTAGGTTGCACTGAGCCCGCTTGTCTCAGCACGTCCATGGTTGTATTCAAATAAGGATCAAAAGCAGGTCCAATAGCGAGCGCGATATCGCCAAAGCAAGATAGTATTGATATCTTGACATTGCGGTTAAGAACGTTGCTCTGCAGGTTCTCTAGTAAAACGTTCATGAACGCGCCTGCGTACTGGGCGCTCTGATCGCCAAGTGCACGTGAGATATCTCCGATGATGCCAACAGCAACCATGCACAGCTGGGTATCTTCATGTGCTTTGAGGGCGGGATACAGGAATGGCAAGAAAGCTTGAATGTATGGTGCGAATCCAGCTTCCAATGCTGGCGAAGAAACTCAACATTGGGGTGGGCGTGATCGAGAGGGAAACGTACCGGCAGCTAGCGATCCAACAACCAGGAAAGCATCTTCGAGCACTGTTGATGTCTTTCCTGCTCCTTGGATAAGCTGGAGAACGAGGGTCATGATTCGATCTGCCATTGGTTGAATGCCTCCGCTGAGCCTCCGAATAACGCTCTGTGGATGTATGAGCTACAACGCGAAATAACGAACATGATGGCTTACGATGACAACACTGCAGAGATTGCTCTGTAGCTCATTCCAGTTATTGCGGTCGTCAACGCCGACGATTTGGTTCTTGAAATGGACGTAAAGATACAAGTAAAATCATGCAGTGAGGAAACGCACCTGCATGTTCAGAAGTTGCTCCATTCTCTGCAAAATAGCAATGACGGTGTTTTGCACCACAGGAATACAATCTGTAGTTGAATGGGATACATAGGATGTGATGGCTTCATATGCAGAGGTTCGGAAGTTGGATTCGTTTGCGGTCCTATGAAACAAGATCAGACTGAAGGTCACGTGAACAAAAAAAAATAAAAAGTACGGACGTCTCGGTAACCCGCAAAAGGGCGCTTACTATCCCCTCAAAATATGGTGAGAGCGGGCTCTCGGAGGCAGAGGTGATATATTCGTCGAGGTATATTCCGATCTGATCAGCGAGGTTCATGAGTGCCCAACAGCAGTTGGTCACGATGCGCGGGCGATCCGAAAGACCGTTGACGAGCGCCGAAATTAGAGGATGAAGATGCACGTCGGGCTTGATCGTTATAATTAGAAGATCGCAGATTCGTCCGAGTGTCCATGCTGTTGTATCTTTCACATGCAGATTCTCATCGTTCATCATGCCGATCAGAAGGGGAAGCGCCTGGTTGACGAGAGGGGTGAGAACCTGGGGATCAGGACCGTCCAAAATAGAGCCAAACGTCATTACGGCTGCTTCGCGCTGGTGCCAGTCTTGAGCCTTGATGTGTGCCTCGATGAAGGGGATGACAGCGGGAACAATTGCATCTGCTACGGCTTGAGCCATGTAGTTGAGACAAGTACCGGCGCTCATGGCAAGGTTCCATTCGCCTTCGTCGGCGTCTTCTTCTTGTTGCGTGAGGAGATTAAGAAGAACCGGAATTACTTCCGGCAGGGCAACCTTGGCAAAATGCTTGGACTCTAGTTCGGGCGGCTCATCGTATTCGGCAGCCTGCAGAATACGTGATTGGTTTGAATAGTATTTGTGCATGCCGCGTACCTCTCGTGCCTCATGGGCGAGTTCAATCTCTTCCTCACATACAGTAGTCCAGAACTCTACGGCTTGCAGTGCGACCCGTTCATCAGAATGTTTCATGCCCATCACAGTAAGCTGGAAAGTTCTGTCAGGAGGACTCAGGGCAGGATAAACAAGCGGTCGTACGCCAAACAAAGCCTGTTCCATATAAAATGCCATCTTGTCGTAGTACAGTGCCATAATCTTGACTAAACATTCGAAAGCGCCGACTTGCACTGATACTGACGGGTTCTGGGTAGCTTCGCAGACGACCTGCATGATGTAGTTTCGCTCTCCCTGATGCGCGTCAGTAAAGCAAACGCCAGAGATTGAAAAAAAAGTACTTCTCGGTCGAAATTGTCCCGTACGAACTCCAGGGAATTGAATAGCGCATGGACCGCAGCAAGCTGTACTTCCGACGATGGCTCCTCCTTGCGAGCGCCATGAATTACAGCCGTCAAAATCTCATTCGACCTCAATGCCAAGACTTCCGGTTTCTGTGGCGCGAGATGAGGACAAAGTGGTTGAGTGGCACAAGGTAAACGTACTATAGTTTCACAGATGTAACCAATAGCTTGCAAAGTGGCGATCTTCAAGTTTGTGTCATCAGACGTGTTGATAAAACCGAGAAGAATTTCAACGAGATCTGGCCATTGGCCGACGGGTAACTCTACGGCTGCGATCGCAGAAACGACTTGGGCAGCCACAGCACCTGCTCTTGGTTGAGGTGATGCAAGAGTTAAAAGGGATGCCTCTTTGATCTTTTGTCTAGCATCGACATCGAGGGCCATCCATCTTGCAGAGTACTCGTCTTGCCTTGTTGAATCCTATACACGATGTTTAAAGATCATGACAGGTCACGAAGAACGCGTTTTACGTACACGGGCAGAGAGAGCATTTTTGAGTGCAAGACCAGCAGCATTGCGGGTATGGATTTGAGAATTCTCGTTGCGGAGCTCATCTGATAACATCAACATATACACCGGCTGTGAAAAGTCTGAGCATACTAAAGGCTAATGAACAAAAGGGTTATTGAACATACATAGTTCTCCCTAGAAGCGCTCTCAAGTTGCTGAGTGGCAGTCTGACGCGTTGTAGCATCTTTCAAGGGCAGATATTAGCTTAGAATGAACGGTCATGAAAATTGAAAAGTAACCTACCTGGAGATAGGGTATTAGCAAGGAGTGCGCTGGCGTTCATGATTGAAGAATCGTTGCAGCGTGACAGTCGTTGATATTTAAAGAGAGATAGTTTGCGATTTTGCAAGAGGAGAGATCAGTTAAAGCGTCGTTGGTGCTAGGAGAAGTAGCAATGATTTGGATCAAGAGTAGAGTCGAAACGATGAAGAAACCCTTCAACTCAACAAACAAGCGGCTTTTCAATTTTTGTGTTTTCTTGTCTTGCTGCCAACAGCAGCCTGCAACAGCCTTGCAAGCAAGTAACCTGTGCACAAGTCACTCAATTAATGGCAGATCGCGTACGATTCAATGTCTTAATCATTTCATCTACTAATTCAATCACAGGGTCGTGCTCCAGCTAGAGGTGGTCGTGGAGGTCCTCCGCCGCGAGGTAGACCGATGCCAGCTTCATCTGATGTCAAGTGAGTCACCCCAGAACCCTTATCTGAGTGGCTCCTCATGTTGGAAAGACTCAAGTAAAGGCAAGCGGGAGGCTATCCTCGACCTGTCCAAGTACGTCAACGAGAGAATAAGGGTCAAATTCACTGGCGGTAGAGAAGGTAGCCAATCGACTAACACAATCGATCATCTTCTGATCAGTTTTTAAAAAAAAATTCAGTGACAGGTATCCTGAAGGGTTACGATCAACTGCTCAATCTCGTTCTTGACGGGGTCGAGGAACAAATTAATGGTGCTGCCATTATAACTCCCCTTTCAGAGTACACCGCTGACAGTTGATCCCCAGAGCCAGAACCTCAAACCCGCTTGCTGAACCTCGTAGTCCTTCGGGGACCGACCATTACCCTCCTCAGTCCTGTCGACGGCTCAGAGGAGATTGCAAACCCTTTCGTAGCTCAGGAGTAGACAGCACCATTCCTCTTCAGTAGTCCATGTATCTCCATCTACTGTTTGTACACCCAAATGTGACCGCTTGTTGCCTGACTACATTTCGAGAGTAAATAATCCTGAACTATGGTAAGGTCAAACCGAGGTCCGAGTAAGCACGTGTATGTAATGTCTCCCCATTACCGATCGATGCGAGCCTAGCGCTATCGCAAAGCAACATCAGGTGTCAGATCCACCGTTGCTGGATCCGCACGAATGCGTCTCAGGCGAGGAGCAACCATCTTGAACGTGTTGTAACGTGAAAAATCATCGACCGCATGTTGTTGGTGCAGCAGAGTCGGTGAAGGAGATGGCGAGCAACTTCCGGATGTCGGCGAAGATGAGTCACTTCCAGGCCCGCATACCATGCCTATGCGTCCGTGCATGCTATTGCGCAGCGGAGAATGAGGTGGCGAGCCCGGAAGATGTCGTGGTATGAGTTGAACACGGGAGGTGATCGTAGCAGTGGAGGGTGTATGTGAATGTGAATGGGTGAACGGCGCCTGGGAGATCGACGAGGGTGGAACCTCTCTGGAGATATCAATTGTAGCGGTATTGTTAACGGTTTGATCAAGATAGTTTCGCATGTAAAATGGCACATTAGATGACAAGTGAGATGGTGCGGGTGCGGGGTAAGTGGGAAAACGCGGCTGCGTGCCCGTGGTTTCATAAAATACAGTGTTGGTCGAAGCAGACGTGTCTGGAACATGCAAGCGAGAGGATTGTGACGTAGATATCGATGGTCCGAATGTAGGAGTATATGCAATGGATGTGGCGGAAGGCCAGGAAAAACGATTAGACTTGCCATTTGGAGGGCCAGAGTGTGAACGACGAATGAGCTCAGCTTTGTAAGCAATTAGGGTAGCCTCGTTCGGCGGAACCGAATTTTTGTCACTGGGACGCGAGGATCTCGAGGGCACTCTGCCTCGAATGCTAGGTCCAACAACAGACGTTACGGGTTCGGTAAAGGATGTGGATGCTAAGGGAGTTGCACGGGATCCTTCAGTAAAGGACTGAACAGATTGGACTTCATCGGACTCAGTAGCATCTGATCGACGCTCTTCATCGCTGAGGAGATCAAAATGTTCAGGAGATGACGCTGGCTTCCCAGCCTCCCGCGCCATTGTCGAAGACGTTGCCAACGCCAGGCCTTGGTCAAGCTGATCTTCAAATATGGCGTGGTGGGCAGGCGGAGCCTCAGGTGGGGGCGGGCTAGTCCACTGGGTCCTTTTTGGTGCCATGTGCTCGGGTGGGGTACGAGATGGAACACAATTATCGCCCGAATGTCTATTTTCAGGCTCAAAGAACTCAGGTTGGGGTGAAAGTCGCTCAGCGGATGCTCCCTTGGGCCTCATGGAATTACTGCCAACAGTGTATGGTGTCTGGGGGGGGATGGAGAGGCGAGGCGGGACGAAGACGGATGGAGGTGACGATGTTTGTGGGTCTTCACCTTTTTCTTCACACAGTTGAGCAAGTGCGACAGAAGCCCGAGGGCGCATCGCAAGGATCCTAGATGCACGCATGAATTCTCCACGAATCTAACGCAGACGATAAGTAAGGTTACAATAGACTGAAAGGCTAACATACCTGGTAAAGCCCTTCTTTTGTTACGCATCGGGCAACATTGAAATCGATCTCAAACGGATCCTATGATTCGGAGAACTTGAGCCGATCATAGGGGAAAAGTTACTGTTCGCGTACCTCTATACAAAACCGATTTCGCTCTCTGGAGTCATTATATCGGCCGGCTGCCAGCTGCATGGCCCATTAACACGTAAAAAGACGCAAGGATGCTAAGCTACTTGCCTCGTTTTGCCATCCCTTGCTGTCCTTCTTCAATAGGCCTCCCCGAATGGAAGCAACGCCTGTATTGTAGGTAAAATCACGAGAATAATATCGGAAGAAATCAATCAACCTGTTTATAAATAAATTCAAACTCTAAACCAGGAAGCGACCGAGTAGTGACTTACAAATCAGCCACGCTATCGGTATTAGATGATTGCCATCGCTGGCGTAGAAGTTCTATATCGTCAAAAAACCTGCGGCGTGGAGTTAGGGACACCTCGTTGGTGATGATAGCCAAAAAGACCGACCAAGTATTATGCCCCCCAATATGGGTGTCCTCCTGAAACCGCTCGATATCAGGTGGAATATATAAGAATGAATCTGCACACCTGAGAAATTGGCCGTAGGGGAGGCATTTGTTGTAAATTTGGTAGCACAGGCGGATTCTTCACATGTATAAGGAAATATATGACAAGTAAAACGTAGCCGTAAGATGATAGCGTCCCCTGGTACGGAGAATTGATGTTTCTGCTCGAGATGATAAGAATATGCAAAAGCATCATATATCTAGATATTCCTACCTCCGCTTGCTCCATACTTTGACTATCACAGAGCCAATGAATCATCGAAGAAAGCTGATAATCAGAAATTGGACTCACGGAAGAGAACTAGTGTCCGTACACGGGTGGGATCGATCATAGCGTAGCACATGAGCAGCCTTGTATTCTCCAGGGCGAGTCTATTCTCAAATCCGATATCGCAAGCGATACCATGTGGTAGTCCAGGAGATGGATCTAAGGAGAGCTTGACGATTGGTATACGTGCATGAGGTAGAGGCTTGACGTGAAACTTGGTTTCTGGTAGCACGATAAATGAATGTCGACACGTAATTCCAATGCCAACTAACCGCGTTCAAGGAGGTCGCCGAGCATCGTAACCATGTCGGATGCAGACAGACGCTCGGCAGAATCGATGAGGCAGCATAGATCCATATCTATAGCAAACTGTAGCCTATACGAGCAAGAGACAAGCTATTCCAAGCTCACCTGAGTTACGAAGGCTAAAGCCGTTTGCGGTGCTTCCGAATGATAGTAGTCGGCTGTCAGGTTCGATTGTGCGAATCAACCTCTCAAGGAGTTTCCTGACGTCTTCCTTCACAGCCATCTCTTCTTGGGATGGAAGAAGGCGAATTACGAAGTCGAAAAGAGCTTGTGATAGTTCAACCACGAAGAAACGGTGTTTGGAAGCATGTCTCCGCTGTGAACTATAGGGACTAGACTGGACACTGGATGAACTCTGCGCCATGCTAGAAACAGAAATCTAAAAGCTTGGGGGACCGCTCTGGTGGGCAACAGAGACAAGCCCTTGGTGCCTAGGGAGATGGGAATTGCTTCCACAATAATTGGCCTTGAGGAACGTGATGGTCAGCAACTTTCCAAAGGGTCTGCCCAAATGAGGAAGCCAACTTCAATTCTTCAGCATCCGGGCTTGCCGCTTGGAACTTTTATACACCAAAATTATCACAATGGCTATGACACTAGCTATGGACCTCAATATTTATGGAACAAGGTAAGTGGAATTATGATGGATGGCAATGATCAACCGGGCACGGCTGAAGTCGACAGGGGCATTATCTTCATGTCATACAGTTTCTTCAACCTTCAAGAGTACCTTCTTCCCATACATTCCTTGACCTAAACGCGCTACGAGGTCACGAATCTTTACAGATGCACTGACATCACTCTCCGTCCCGCCAATCGTCAAAACTTCATAGTTAGGGTCCTGCAACTGGATAGCCTAGATGAGATGAAATACGAGCATCATTGAAGTTCCGTACATACCTTGTCATCTCGCATGAGGGCGGTCAATGTTTCAAGCAGTTCCTGACGTTGTTCCGAGGATTTATCGCTATACCAACGTGTTTGCCAAAAACCGTGACAAGTAAGGTTCTTGAAAATAAAGAGCGATGTTGGAAGTGAAAGAGGTTCCTTGGACATCGCCCCGTATGAAACAAGATGCGCGTTGTTCCCAAGTAGTCGAGCCATAAGGGTGGTCGTTTTGCCGCTTACGCAGTTGAGACCAAGGCGGATATCCTACAAAATACTAAGTTTATCGAAAGAAAAGATGGAGAAGTCAATACCTTGCCTCCAGTCCACGTTTTGACCTTCGCTCTCAAGGACTTCTCGGCGAGTTCGTCATATGTCACAACGTGTGTTGCACCCAGTGATTTCAAATGTTGTTTCAGCAGTCCAACATCATCTCTTTGGTTGAATGAGACAGGCCCGTAAATGTGGTAAATATGACATACCGGTCACGAATGAAGTTGATGGTCTTGTATCCCTTGGCAGCTGCGATTTGAATCACGGCTTGACCAACCTGAGAAGCAGACTGAGGTAAGGGTTGCCACCAGCGCACGAATAAGACCATACATACAGCACTGTTCGCACCGTTTTGCACAATCCAGTCTCCTTCTACAAGTTGGGCGAAGTCGTGCAACATGTTGTAAGCTGTTGGGGGGTTGACCTTCACCAACGTCGGAACTGAAGTAATCAAAATATCCAAGTGACAATGAAGAGACGTACGGTAATCGTAGCAGCCTGTGCTTCAGACAGACCCTGCTTGGGAACCTTTAGGACATCCGACATGGCAACGTTCTTCGCCGACGACCATGTTCCACTCTGAGGTTTGGTCATAACGACCCAATCATCCTTCCGCAGGCCGACAATGCCATCGCCCACATCTATCACTTTGCCAAGGCCCTCATTCCCCCCCACGAATAGTGGGTAATCCTTGGCCTGGGAGAGGGAAACATCAGGCTCTGGTTTCGCGGGGTAAATGCCCTCAATAACGTTGATGTCTGCAGGATTGATGGGCGCAAGCAGAAACCTTATGTTCACGGTGTTTGGAGGCGGAGGTGGCAGTTCGGGGAAGGAGAATGCAGTTAGGACACGAGCTGGGTCACCATTGGTATTGTAGACGATAGCTCGATTACCTGCCAACACCGATGACGTTGAGAAAGTATTGCTTGACACGTTACTTTGTAGTCGCCATGCGTGTTGCAACTGACAAGGTCGCTGCCAGCGTGCAAGTACTCTGGCACATGGGTGAACTAAACTCCGAGTCATCGTAGCTGCAACCACAATTTTCCCTCAGTCAGTTGGAGTTCGGAGTTGTGGTATGATGACAACACGGCAAACTATGCTCATCATCGTCGAGATCGGACAGATGAAACTATCAACGCAGTAAAGTACTACGATGTAACCAAATTGAAATCATAATTTTTATATTTTTCGCGTCTTTTTCAGATTCTACCTATTTTTGCATGTTAGAAATCGATGATCATCGCGATGCCCGAGCTAGATCACTGAATGGGTGTTAGGCACAATGAGAACGAGACAAGACAATGGAGTCCTACCCAAAGGCAACATCGATGCAGGCTTTCACATCTTTGTAGCTCACAACGAGACAGCTCTGTTCATCACGGGAAACGAGCATAATACGCTCGTCTGTGCCAGCGTCGAGCTAGCAAGAGCATGAGAAATGTTTCCAAGCAAATAAACAGGGAGTACCTTATTCAAACAAGCTAAGACATGCGAAAGATTGATGACTGGGTTACCGTTCTCGTCCACTTGATGAAAGACGTAGTCTCGGAAGAGCTTGATGATGTATCTATCGCCTGTTTCGGACCAGCGAGGCTCACGGGCGAACCTAAAATCAAGGTTGAGATGCTGTTCAAATTGAGCAGCGGTAGACGCACACGGGTCGCTCGTTGATAAAACCAAATTTGCAAAGAAGGCGAACCAGGCGCCCGTTTTCGAGCTCACTCATGAATTCAGCTTCAAGCCTGTTGACGGAACTAAGTTGTAGCATGAGCACAAGCGCTAGCATACATCTACTTTCGTTTACCTGTGCATATCGTCCATTTCGTGGAGCAATCGATTCGTTCCGATCATGTCTATTACTTGTGTGATACTCTGAAAGTTTGTTAGACGCAGGCTATACCGATAATGAGAAAGGCCAACCTTGTGTGGACCTGGTTTAGAGATCAAATAAAGAGCAAGAGCCTTCACATCAGCGGAGTACTGGCGACCTATCATGTCAAGTGCTTTAGGGAGTGTGTTCATGGCTGCAAGATTATTACAACAGAGAGCAAACACAAGACGGCCAAACATTGCGAGGTCCTCTTGTTGGGCGATCGCAGAATCTTGGCGGGGATCGTACATCAGAACGTCTGCAATACCGCACGAGCCAATATGAATTCTGCTCGCAGACATAAGATGAATCAGATACGAGATGACAGAACACACCTGTTCTTGCCCGTGACCATGATTTTGGTTGCGTCAACCATGCGTACTGCGAGGCCCGCTTCATGCACTACTTTGGTGGCACTGGCAATTTGGATGATGTACGACCATAAAGTCGCCTCGGGTAATGCCGCTGAGAAAGTTGAAAGACGGCCATGCTGAAATACAGGCGGCCTCTGTTTAATGTGCATCTCAAAGAGAGTCTGAGCATCCGGATAGTATTCATACGCGACCACCAAAGCTGATTTACGTTTGTCAGAGCAAGCGAAGTTGCATAAGGGTCCAACGTACAATTGTCGTTGAATGCACGAGTAGTGAATGCTTCGCGGACACGAACGATACTTGGATGCTCAACACGCGACCACGTTTCGATAGCTCCAAATGCAGCTTGATGCATCAACCTGAAATCTGCACAAGTCAACAATATGGGGTAAATGCTATGGGTATAACTAACTTTCGATGCGACGAAGAGCATATGATATACCATCGTTGGAACTAGTTGCGCGATAGACGGTAGAGTACCAACTGAAGAACTTGCGTCGCTCGGTGACAGAAGGTTCAAGAAGAGCTAGGGAATGATATCCCTGAAGTTCATCAGGTAGGTTATGTCCAGGTAGTGGGACAAGTTGTGAGGCTTCCGAGCGTCTGTGCAGCTCCTCGCGAATTGTATCAGAGACAAAATGCGTCGAGGGAAAGGCATCCGGAGTAGGGTGCGAGTAGAGATGATAATCCAACTACACACAATAAAGGTAACACATCCTTCCATGCAGATTGGCAAGAGAAGCTTACAGGTTGCCTTACAAACGTAGCCTGTTGAGATTGATAGAAATTACTCATTGGTGAGGCATGGTCGTCATAATCCACCTGAAGTAGATATAAGCCTAGTGAAAACATATATAAGGACATATTCGCACCTGCTGATACTGATTGACTAATTGATGCTCCAATGTCTGAGGTGTCTGATTGGAGACAGAATCTCCATAATCCTCGTATTCGGTATGATTCGGATAAAAGGTTGAAGGCGAGGGGCTACACAAATCTCAGTAGTTGTATGGTAATGCATAGAGGTCTTACGAAGGAGTGAATGGCGATGCCGAAGTCGGAGAAGGAGATGTAATGGCATGAAAAGGTGCTTTTGGCACAAAGATGGGAGCATTGACGGCCTGCGCAGAAAGTGAAGCAGAAAGAGGTGATTCTGGACATGGCCTAGAGAGATCATAAGCGCTTGAGGCAGTCAAGGATCGAAAACCTTCCGTACAGGTTGTTTGAACCTTCAACCTGAAGAACATTGAGAGGGTATACTATCAACAAGTTTGCACTGCACATACTGGTGGATGATAATAGATACAACCTTTGTCCTGATAACGACAAGATCTGCGTGACGCATTAAAATACTACCTCGCCGCTGAAGAGTTGATTTTACCCATAAATCAATATATTCCTACATTGACGCTGAGGAGAATCTGATGAACCGGGTTAAGTTATGCATGGATATTTGCGTCAATCGAAGGTACTACCTCTCTTGGCCTGCAATTTAGCCTTGTCATCATGTTCTGCCGGATTGACAATCTTGATGGCAGAACTTGAGGACTGTGGCCTTTGGCTTGAGAAATAGGCCATAGGAACCTCCAGATTGCTGCCGCCAGGTGATGTTTGTCAATCAACGGGATCTGAGAGCGCTGAGCTACAAGCAGTGCCAAGCAACAATTCTGCGGGGTTAGGGTTATGACATATGTACGACTACAAATCTGCGCTGCATACGAGCCACAAATAGGATGTGATGATACGTAGGTCGTGGTATACTCGCAACAAGTTATTCAATTTTAAACTTTTTGCACTCTATCTTAGGACTCTTATTCACCTTCCCGACTGGCTCAGATTGCATTGATGGTATGACTGGAGATGGACTACGTTTGCGCTTGATGCCTTCCTTATTTCCCTCCTGTTTGGCGCGTTGCTTTGCAAACATGGCCTCGATACCGTCTTTGCGTGTTGCAACGGGCTGGACAAAGGCGGGAGATTCGGCACCAACTTTGCCAACTTCCTTTGGAACTTGATAGCTGCATACAATCATCAGTGCTCGAGATACGATCAAGGAAGAAAAGGGCACACCATATTAGACCTTCAGACGGTCGTAACAGTTTACCAAGTTCGGCGGACCAAGCATTCGAGCTGGTATCAAGCCACTTAGTGACATCGGCGTCGGATGTAAGAATGACAGGTTGGCGGTCGTGCAGCCAACTAAGTGATTTGCTGGCGCTCGTTGTAATTATAGCAAAAACGTAGTTTGGAATTGTTTCCTCTTCAAGCCGTCAGTATTGTGGGCGAGTAGTGTCCGCTGGTCAGCGATGATGCGCACCTGAAACGTGATAAAGTCCAGCCATGAGCATCACCTTCTCATCGGCATTTTTCGTAAAGTGTGGAAGCTTGGCCTTGCCTTTTGTCTGCCACTCGTAGTACCTGATAGAGGATTAGTTCCAGAAACATCATGATCTTGAATTGAAAACTCGAATAAGTGCGCACCCCTGGCTAACAACGACACAGCGATTACTGCTTCTGTATTTGTTCCACATCCCTGCACTTTCCATGATGTTTTCCGAGCGTGCATTGATAGCTTGTTGACCTTTTGCATGAATCTTACCATAAGGGATGCCCCACCGCATGGTCTGCATTTGAAGGTCGGGTGAAGAAGCATTACGCCTGCGAATGACAGGCGCCTGAGAGTTTGGTGCAATGTTATAGCGGGGCTATAATTCAGGAAGTATCTCATGGTTTGCTTTCATGGGTGTGGAGAACAGAACTCACCACGAAATTGTCTTCGTTTACCCATTCACCAATTTCGAGATTGGGGTATCCAGGTAAAGCGCGTATTTCGGCACGCTAGTTACGTTAAATAGCTGAAGCAAGTTGTGATAGAAACTGACCTGTAGACCTAGGGCATATCGTCCACACATGGTTAGAGGAAAACTTAGGGGGTGGGCTTGGTCGGCAGCTGAAGCAGACTTCACGATCGGCGCTTGCCGTACCTTAGGTAAGTAAGAATTAAGTACTACATCCCACTACTACTAGTAGTACTTACCTGCCAGGCTGCCATGGATCGACTAGTGTCACAGTCAGATCCGCTGAGCTCATCGACATTACCCGCCGCTGGGTTTCAGGGTAAAGCTGCGGAGTCGTCAGACAAGTCCATACAACCCCCTGCCAATTGTAATTTGGTACCCAAGTTCTCTGCGTTCAACAAGTTCATTTTATACGAGAACAAACTGCGCTTCTATATCGTCGCCTCTAATGCCTCTGACTCGCGGCACCGGATTGTCAAGATTGACCGCACCTCACAAACCGACATCGCCATTGTCGAGGACGACACCGACTATAGCGGCAAGCAAATGAGCAACATGCTCAAGATGCTGGAGGATGGTAACAAGGGATCTGGCGGGCTTGGTAAGGCACGCATAATCTTTGGTATTGCAGGTATGCCGCACCAGTACGTTTATCGTAAGTCGCTGACCAGACCAAGGATTTGTGAAGTTCACCGCTGGGTGGTACATGATCGTCATATCAAAGCGTTCTGTTGTGGCACTTCTTGGTGGCCACTATTTATACCATTGTGAGAACACGGAGATGATAGCTGTTGCATCCAATCACAAGATTGACCGTCCTGCCGAGGAGCAGCGCCTTGCGAATATGTTCAAGCAAGTTGACATATCGAAAAACTTTTACTTCAGGTGGGCAATATTCAAGTGCGTGAGCTCTCCTAATTGGTTCCACTATGCCTCAATCCAGTTACTCATACGATATCACCTCTACGCTTCAAAATAACCTCACCAAGCCAAAACGTTTCAATGGTACCAGATGGCCCTTCAATGATCGATACGTTTGGAATTTTCACATGATCGCTGCACCTCTCAAGGATTCCCCTGCCACTGGCGTCCGTCGTCCATGGCTACTGCCACTCATACATGGTCATGTGGACCAGGCCAGTAAGTGCATCGGCCGTTTGCGCTCCTGCATCATAATGCTTAGTGCGCTACCAGAACTTACTGTACTCGGGCGTGTAGTCTTTGTAACGCTTATTGCCCGTCGGTCGCGCCATTATGCCGGAGCTCGATATTTGACCCGCGGTGTCAATGAAGAGGTACGGAACTAGTGTATCAAATAATCCTTTTCCTCAAGCATTTACCAGGGAAACGTTGCAAACGAGGTTGAGACCGAGCAAATTGTATCAGAAGCACTAACGACACCATTTTACTTTCCTCCCACCGGTCCCTCAACAGGCGAATGTCAACGTCGGCCGAGCCCTCAGTACACCAGTTACGTCCAGGTACGGACCAATGCAATCATGCGATCTATCATAGTCTTACATCAGTCGAACCTTCTTAGTACAGGGGAAGCATTCCCATATACTGGACACAGGAAACTACTAGTATGACTCCCCGACCACCTATTGAAAGTACGTCCGTTGAGACCATCAACTTACCTTTATTTTGACACATCCCAAGTCAATGTTGTAGATCCCTTCTATGTTGCTGCTTCTCGTCACTTCGATGACCTTTTTGCACGATACGGCGCACCAATCACAATTCTTAACCTCATCAAACGGCGGGAGCCGCAGCCACGCGAATCGAAGTTGTTGGATGAGTACACTCAATGCGTCAAATATTTGAACCAATTTCTGCCGGATGAGTACAAGATGGTTTATCGGGCTTGGGATATGTCACGGGCATACAAAGAGTATGAACTTCATGCAATATTGGCGCTTCGCTGTCTCAATATGACTGTAGGAAAACACAAGATGTTATAAGCTACCTTGAGGACATAGCAGAGGTATCCATTCAAATGACTGGATTCTTTCATTCTGGCGCGGAACCACTCGCTCATGGTCTCCATAATGGCAATTTGTGTGTATTGCACTCGTCTTTTTCAAATGTCATGTTAACTTTGTCCTTCCTAGTGAAGAGAACGAACATTTCCGTCGTTCCATCTTGCTGCAGAATGGTGTATGCCGCACAAATTGTGTCGACTGCCTAGATCGTACGAATGCAGCACAATTTGTTTTCGGGAAGCGTGCTCTGGGCCACCAGTTATATGCCCTCGGTGTTGTTGCTAGTCCGAATCTCCCATTCGATTCAGATGCGGTAAACATGTTGACTGAAATGTATCATGACCATGGAGATAGTTGAGTTTGTCATATAACTTATGTTAGCTATCGCTGATATTTTGTTTAGCCATCGCGCTGCAGTATACCGGTAGTGCACTTGTGAATCGGGTAGAAACATATCGCAGGATGCCTCACTGGAACAGTCACTCGAGGGACATCATCGAAAACATCCGCCGTTTTTATGCCAACTCCCTTCTCGGTACCTACTTGTCTTGTACTCACCCACCCCATAACTGACAAGTCCATCTAGACGCAGACAAACAAGCAGCAATAAATCTATTTCTCGGCGTGGCAGCTGAACGCAGCTTGGCGCTTCCTCCGAAACGTGGTCAGTACCAGAAATGGTTCCAGAAGCGACATCTCCAGGTGTTGTACGACGTGATGGAGTGCTCGTCAGCATTGTGCAACTTTGTCAACGTAGGCGGAGAATTTTGGGCGGAGTACTACCGACCACTTTTATTCACATCGCTGGGAAAGCATTTTGCGTACTCCATGAATAGCACATTGAAGCTACCAGGGTAAGCAGTACTGTACAGGAGCGAGATCATTGCTAATTTGTCCGTCATCATCCACAGGAAGACTCTGAAGGACATTGCTTACAGTCCATTTCTCCCTCACAGCACTCATCCAACACACCATCCACGGTATGTATCCGATTTAGTCCATGATATTTAATGCAGACTGTTTCCCAGGCTCATGGCTGGAGTTCGTCGTTGGATCGGCACATATCCTTCGTCTCAGCATGAGTTTTCCAAGAAGGCATTAACCTCCAAACAAGAAGTGTTGAAATCAGATCTGCCTTCCACTGATGATCCTCGCTCATCAGCTGCGCTTGCCAAGAGGTTGTTGCATCCAGACGTGCCAGTCGAGGAGCAAACAGAGTATTTGAAGTGAGTTTGTCTGGGTTATAATAGAGACAGTAGCTAAGCTTTTTTCAGATATGTTGATCAGTGTTTTGCTTTGCTAGAGGCATGCAATGATGAAGCAGAACCTGAAGACAAAGAAATATATGAAAGGTTTGTCAGAAAGTCAAAGGGTGTTGTGGAGGAGGGTAATTCCTGTGACATTTATGTCACCTATGTTAGAACCATGCAAGCAGAGGATGTAGATACATATGGAGAGGACTTAGTAGCTACTTATGAACAATGGCTGGGATAAACAATAGAAGAGCTCAGAGTATAATGCTCATCAGGAAAACCCTCCTGCACAAAACTAGACAAAGATAGTCAAAATTATGTGAACTTCAATAAAAAGACAAGAATATTACAAACTATGGATAAGATCAATAATTTCTTGCTAAACTTCAACATTCTATAATGAAGTTATAATATGCTATCTAATTGTTACAAACATATGCCTATTAATATAAGAATTAATAAAAAAAGTGTTACATTGTTCGAGGACTTCGCTACTTGTCCATTGACGAGGTGCAACAGGTCCGAACTTTGGAATAAGATGAACACTTTGGTGGATATTTGCGACAGGTATAATGCTTGCAACTCTCTTACCTGATTGCACAACACAGCTAACTTTGAACATTCCATGGTTTGAATCAGGTGTAAGAGGAAACCGAGTGAACCACTCTACATAGGTGAGATGTTTGGGAGGCTGGATTGTGGTAGGGAACATCGTTGTAATAGAATTCTGTGGGATCAAGAATATGACACGAATCTGACCTACATGGTAGCCTGTTGAAAATATATCATTTGTGACTGTCTATCATCCTTGAGAATCACAAACTGACCTTCAATACCTACAGAACGGCCAGTCCCATCATTAATAAGCACAGTATCAAATCGTGCTGGGACGTCAGTGCCTGTTTGACTGGTGGCTGCATGGCGAGGCTTGATGTGCGCGCTATCCACTGTGACACACAGATCACTGTGTCCCTGTGCATCAACAGATTGCCATTTGACTACATGATATACAGGAAGTGTATGGAATGGAAGGTGAATAGTGGCAGCAAGGTCTTTGAGGTGGCGATGAGTGGTGGCTTCATGTGGATGATGCAGCTGTGCAACATATCTCACAAGTGCCTCACAAAAGTACATGGCCCCATACCCCATGACTAATTTCTGAATTGGGACACCTTTCACACTCGGATGCTTCGTTAATGTTTGAACACAGTTGAAAGACAGGTTTGGTGGACATGGTTGGTATCAAATGAGATTGCTGTGGAGGCGCCACATGACATACCTCTCATGTCGAATGATCTTCTCTTTGTGTTTGAGCCACTGAGTCATTTGGACAAACTCATCTTTGTGGTTTGTCGTGCGATACACATCTTTGGCCAAGTCAATGTGGAGGTGCTCAGTATATTCTGTATTATAATTGTCAGTCATGCCAAAAGTCTGGATCATCAACATATAGTGCCAGGCTGCATGGAGCTTTGGGAGATTGAAATTGTTTCAGATTCCAAGGTTGACAATGATCTGCTTGTTGTCATGAAAAAAATTGAGGGCTTCCATGAGAAGAGTCAACACTTTGGAACTATGGCAAGGATATTGCGCGAGGTACAAGAAGTCAAGTAAACCTCTGATGGCTCAGTGCAAGTTGATTGGAGAGTCAGATGTCAACAATAATGCCAAGTAGAAAACAGCATATCTGACTATGCTCTGTACTACTAATTCGTGAGAGGCTAGTGATGCCTTTCATAAATAGACAAATATGGTGATTTGGGGGGAGCCTCTGACATCTGGCATCTATTTCGGCTGCTCCAAATGTGTAACGGTTACACCCTACTTCAGCTCCCGGTTATCTGTTCCTAGTTGATATTGTTTCTGTCTGACTCCATTCTCCCTTCTACTTACCGGTTTCATAGTTATCTGGCTTGTGTCGGCCGAGCCCTGCATTACCCGCATTGTTTCCTATCCTTCCCGTTTAGATACTGCATGACATCGGCTGTTCAGTAGACCTTAAGTATCGCACATAGTCGTAGTATTAGGGCAGAGTTGTTTGAACCCCCGAATTGGAGACTTTGATCCTGTCACTTACGTTCGAACTCTCTCCTCTCTTTGTGCCGTTGCCTTTGAGCCTTATCTGCTAAATAGCCAATGTCACAAAATGCCTCGGCCAGCCAACCAAGGAGATGCTTGATTAAACCCTGATATAATTGGTGGAGTACATCTGGTGTGACGGCTTGGAAGATGTTGGTATAGGGTAGGGGCTCCCAGAACGGATGTATAATGGGCTTAATTCCAGCTTCACGGCATGCACGCACAAATTTGATATCTCCATGGTCAATTGCAGCCAATGCATCGAGGACAATGTCAAGGTTGTGCATCTCGAAAGGTGTGGCATTGCTTCCAAGTTCGTCTGGTGGTATGTCACATTTGGGACATTCTGTGACTTTGACTCCTGTAGCCAAGACTTGCTTGGGGTAGTCACCAACAAAACAAGAAAATAAGGGATGACTGCGATGCAGGATACCATTGCCACTTTTCATAACAATACCATCTAAGCCAGCTTCCTCCAGTGGTGCTAAGATACGGCCCATGCACACGTGATACAGATTTGCAATGGTTCGGAGTCGTGAAGCCTTGTTGGTGATGTGCTTGAGACGAGTGGTAGGAAGATAAGCGAGAAGAATATGGGCACAACGAGAGGGCTTTCAGCAAATTTCCTTAGGAATATTGCTGATAGTAAGGTAGACTGGGTAGGCTGTTTTATTTTGGAACATCGTTACTTGAGTCTTGTCACTCAAAATGATAATCAGAATGATAGTAGCACCCAGTTTGTGCTGATCAAGCTTTTTCTATTTAATATGTCAGTTATGTTTAATGAGCAGAAGTCTTCAAAATACAAACTTACCTGGGTATCCCACCACAATTTACCAGTATGCATATCATGGAACAATTGGATAGTTTGTTCCTTGTCTGCATAGTGGTGTTCTGGTGTGAAGACCAGAAAATCTGCAAAATCTGGGTCTCCATACAGAGCCTTGACACACTTGATAACATCCCTATAGAAAATGTTGAAGGCCTCGCCTGAAATGACAATTTGTTCACACCTGAACTTTGGGTGACCAGGAAGCTGCTTGTCGATGATCTTGTTCAATTCCCTTGAGTTTTTGTAAGAAAGACCAAGCTTTTCATGGACCTGGCGACAAAAATAGACAGATTACCTACAACTCATGTGAGATTAATATACAATCACTCACTCCATTGATACCGAGTAAGTCCAAAAATGTGGTTGAAGTTGGACCGCATAATTTAGCCCATTGTGTAACTTTCCAGTCCACCCGAGAGTCAAAGGGGGCATAGGGATTCATAGTGTCGTTGATAACGGTAGCATATGCAGTGTTAGCATTGCAGATGTCATCTTGTGGGATGGGCTGCCCTGCTCGAGCATCAGGGTATCGCACAATAGTGATTCTATCTTCCTGAAGCATGTGTTTCTCGATCTGCTGATGCAACCCATGATCCTGGCTATTCATCTCTGTGCTGTCTTCTTCAGCAGCTCCAAGTTGGTCCTCTAAATCCCTTCCAGTTATGAGGGGTTCCCATTCAGTATTGTCAAGGCCAGGTATATCATTCTCGGAATCTGCGCCATCACTACTTTCACTGCTGTTGGCATACTGTCTCATGTCATTAGGCCATTGAATTTCATCTTCCTCGTAAGTACCAAAAAAGTCACCTTTAAACTCAGGTCATTGATCATCAACTTCTACTTCGGTTTCCATAGGATCATCTGAAAGAGTTGGAGTTAGAGAGTGGACATTTGAGTGTGATGCAGCAAGCACAGCCATGCAGCGTTGATTCCTGGTTTTAGCTAAATGTTGGCTTAAACCCATGGCCTAAAAAGTCGTGTAACATCTGGTGCATTGGACCATAGTGATAGCAGGGAATTGTACACCACTACCAGATACTAGCCCATCTGCTGTTGACGTCATTTTTCAGGCTCTGCTATCATATATCAATGGTATATTGTCCGACAAGTCTGGAGGTCAGATTCACATGCAATAAGATGGACAGCTCATCATCCTCATCTCCTGTTCAGTCAAGCAGTCCACATTCATCCTCTGCTCAAATGAGCAGTCCCACAATTCTGTCTTCACCTGACTCCTCAAGTCCATCTGGAATGACTCTCTGTAATCCAGGCCAAAGATCAATCTCCTCAGGCTCTTTAAACACAATAAACACAGTGTTAAATGCCTTACATCTGAGCGTTTCACAGCAAAGCAAACCTGCACCTTCTCAAGCAGATGAGAGCCTTTTCTTTAAGAGTGACAAAACATCTAATTCTCGATTGTCAAGGAAGTATCTTTCATACCCTCCCAATCCAGCTCCATTAGAGCTTCATTATGCAGCTCAGGAGATGAAGTCAAAATTCCAACTGGAATTCTCATTGGAAGAAACACAGAAGGTATGGTATATTTACTTCCAGACACCAATAACTCATTGATATGGTCTGAAAGCTTCAAGAACAATTGGAGAGCGGCCTCTCCCAAATGTCGACTCCAACCTTGTACAAAGGATACAAGGCCAAGCTTGCAAGTCGCGAGGTTGCACGCTAACACATGATGTTGGCAATATAGGAAATTGATGAGGTTGCGCAATATGAAGCATTCCTCATTAGCATCTATGGCAAAAATGAACGATGATTCAAGATGGCAGAAGGGGAATTGCAGGCTTCAGAAAGATTTTTTCACAGTGTGGCCAGGCAGAACTTGAAAATGATAAGTGATATCTTCAAGCCGTCTACGAGGACGAATGTGAGATCCTCCATGTCAGCAGTACCCAAACTGACCAGATTGCAAAACTCCTCAATTCACACGTCAAGCAGGCATTTTTGAAGCCTGCTGCAGCATTTCCTCCTCACCCTAGCAGTGGACTTCCCTGCATTGGCACTAGGGAACCCTCTGAACCCTCAGACCCAGACTTGTCTGATGAATCTCATCCAGACGAGTTACCAGAAGACTCGGACCATGGCTCCGAAGATTCATGCCAAGGTGCGGGCTCTGAAAAGTCAGCTGGCTGATAATTGCCCTTCCAGCAGTACGGGAAATCCTCAATTCATAAGCATTCAACTCCTCACAAGTTGCAGGCTCCCTTTTATCACTCAGATCACACTTCTTGTCCTACATTCAATCTTTTTTTCTCATATACTGTAAGGCACTCTCACTTTATACAATCTTACACACTACTTTCATTCTTCACCTTCAGTGACCCTTCTAGAATTCAATGCCTACCAACATATCAACATCTCAACATCTCAAATAACCACTACTGCAACAAGATGGGGCTAAGAATTCTACTATGCCAAGTCCAGAGAGCTTTAGAAAGCCGCACTTTATGCTTGCCAGTGTTGCAGCTCTGTATTTATATTCCTTTGTGCCAGGTTTCAGCAATGCAGAGTGTCATGCTGCAGCTCAGACATAAATCACATTAAGATGGCATCCACTATCACACTGGAGTAGGGGACCCCTAGGAGGAGGGTGAGAGTAGAGAGAGGTTTGGCAGTGTTTGGGTCAGGTTTAGCCGAGGGAGTGTTGTTTGTTAGAGCAGCTGGAGGCAGTAGGAGGCCTTAGGTCTTAGTTGTCATTCAATAGCAAAGTCTGCAGGCATAGCCCACTCCAACTGGTGAACAGAGCAAGTTCGTCTCGACCAAGCTTCACAATTGGTTTTCCCCCTTTAAGCCCAGAGTTTATAGTCCAGAGTTCAGAGCACAAAGTTTAAAGCCCAGAGTCCAAATGGAGAAGTCGGAAGCCTTGTGGAATACATGAGCAGATGACCCAACCAGTCAAGTACAAGAGAGTTAAGAAACACGAGGAGAACATGTTGCAAAGCATAGCATTTTTATTCATGAACCGAGAAATGATACTGACGATGAATAAGTCTCTTTAGCCAAACTGTCTAAGACAAAGAAATTACCACCTAGGGGACCAGGAGGCAAGTTCCTACCCAAGTCTCACTTGGACCCCAAAAACTCCAGTAGTGCGTTCACCTCATCAGCTTCGTTACCTCTTGATACACCGGAGATGAATGAACAGCAACTTACACCAGACAAAGAAGAACCGGAAGATCGTGAAGTCTCAGATCGCGAAGTTAACAAGGATTTAAGAGAAGACGACAAAGAGTCATTACCTGATGCACCAAGACCAAATACAATACTTCTCCCAGCCTTTCAGTGGGACACAGGTGTTTCACAGACTATCCCTAGAGAATCAAGCACTCAAATTGTTCCATCAGTGCAACCACCAACAAGCACACGCAACTAAAGCTACAATGTCAATGACGTTAGCTTACTCCCCACCCTTGTTTCATGGATGCAATGATGAAAACTCAGCTAACATCGCTATCAATCATATCTCAGACAAAGCGATAATGATTCTGCTGCTCAGTATGTTCATTTCAGCAGGCTCAGATGCAGATGTATGTGTATGGGCCTAGGAGCATCACAGAAAGCTACATGGGTGCAAGCCAAGCACTATTCTTGACAAAGTGGCCAGTGATAATTGTCGCGGGAAAGACACAGAGGGAGTACCAGAAAGACCTACTGGAACTGCGATTCAAAGAGGAGGAAGTCGGAGAATTGGTCACGGTAGCAGGGATTGCAACATGGGCGCACATTCAATTCCACAACAAGTTAAAAACACTTGTGAAGGACGCAGGAGTAGAAAATGTACCCATTCTAATCCAACCAGTCCGTGAAGCACTCCCACAAGCTCTTAGAGACCTGACATCAGCGGTGCCCACAGACTGGAACATGTTCCTAAACGAGATCAAAACATCAACATCGATACCTTGCAGGAGAAAGTGAAGAGGTTGAAAGAGAGGAAGGAGGCAGAGAAAGCTGAGAACGCGCGCATCACACGATTGGAGAGCCAACAAGATCCCATTGAAGTTCTATGCTTGCAGATGCAGCAAATGTCAATTGGAGCTAACACCCAGAACACAGAAGTAAAAACACCCCAAAGAACTATGGGAAACGCACCTGTAGATGCAGCAATAACAAGAAGGCCAGTGAGATATGTCACAGCTAATCAAGGGCAAACCAATCAGCATCCTAGAGGACAACCGCCAATGCAAGAGGAGCAAGACACATTACACACCTGTATCAATGAACTGCAGCACCACGCAGATTCAAATGACGGACAAGCAGCATATAGGGAACAGCTGAGATGCTGGGCAGTGAAATGGAGAGAAGGAGCTAGATGCACGGAGAGAACACCCTTCCCATTGACACCTGGAACAGTGCAAATCTGTTCAGGTGAATGTTTCGGATATGGTACACATGGGCATATTGGACCAATGTGTCCCCTCCCAGAAAATGTGCAATTGCCAAAGAACGAGAGTATGTGGTGCAGTGCTTGCACACGGATCCTCGGCATGTTCAACAGGACTTCAGCTCCACAGATCAACTTCATTATAGATGAGATCATAGATCAGGGAAAAGAGAATGAGTTGTTGGCATAGAGGATAGCTGAATGACCCAAGAATACTTAGTACCTCAACTGTCTGGACAGTCAGTCCTGGTGTGCAAGGAAAAGATGAACAAGGACCAACATACCTTCCCCATCGAACATGTTCAGTCTACAAATCATGTTGTTATACAACCATCTGACATGCAATACAACATTGTTAATTTGTATTCGACGGACGAAGGAGAAACTCGACAAGACTGCCAACCATTCTGGCAACACATCACATTCACAGGACCACAAGGAGAGGTTGTACAGGTCAAAGTGCTCTTCGACGAAGGCGCAATGGTCAGTGCAATGTGTGCAACAGTATTCGACAAGATAAAATATCGTTTGGGAGACTGGAAGGCATCAACAAAGCAGTTAAGAATGGCCAATGGGACATTAGTCTCATCAAAAGGAACATGGAAAGGCGAAGTTACGATAGCGATAGCAGAGGTCAAAGCACAAGGAGAATTTGAGGTCTTCAACAGCGGCAGAGGGTGGAAATTCCTGTTAGAAAAGCCAATGCTGCAAGTGTTCAAGGCTATACACGAGTACAAGACGATGGTCCACATAACAGAGAAGGAAGCATCGACGACCATCTACAACCAGAACCAGGAAATGCCAGCAGAGACAGAAATGTCCAAAGATAAGACCCAGGAGGAAGGAAGTCCCAAAGAGCATACTGTCCCAATATGCATTCTGTCAGATGACAGACAGATATCAGAAGACATGGTCAAAACAATGTGCAAAGCGATACCAGCAAACTTCCTAGACAACGACGCGGAGGTCTGCACAAGGACCGCAGACCCAAGGAACCCTAAGAGGGTACCATACATAGTGAAGGCAGTACAGATTGGTAACGACCTCAGCCTGGAGGAATGAGAGGAAGTCAAAGAACTCATCTCAAGATACACAGATATCTTCGCATGCTCGCTGTTAGAGATTATACCAGTTCCAGGAGCGGTACATTGCTTGAATATTCCAGAAGGGACCATGTTCAAACTACGAGTCCATCAATGAGCCCTTACACCTCTGCAAACACAGTTCTTACACGGGAAAATTGATGAGATGCTAGCTGCAGGCATTATCAAGAAAGCACACCCAGAGACTGTCAAATGTTGCGCCACCACGGTCTTAGCCCAGAAAGTGCACAAACATGGAGGACTCACCTTAGAGGAGCTATGGTATAAGGTCAACGAACAATGTACACAGAATAAAACCATCAGTGTTTGTACTGCCAGAGAGAGAAGTTCCAGCAGAAACATCGCAGAGCGTACCACCAGGCCTGCAAAAGTGGTGCATATGCCAGAACTTTAATGAGGTTAACCGGCACATGGTGATCACACCTATGCCATAGGGAGATATTAGAGCCAAGCAACAACGGTTAAGTAGATACAAGTACGTCTTGGTATTTGACTTCATGTCTGGATTCTATGCTGTAGAGATCCCACAGGAAGCAAGGACATACACTGCCTTCTATGTAGAAGGACAGGGGTACTTTTGGTACAAGAGAATGCCAATGGGCCTCACTGGAGTGCCATTGACCTTTTGTGAGATGATGGCTACTCACTTGCAGATATGAGAATGGAGGATGCACGGCTGACTCATTCAGGAAGATGTTTGAAAAGCTAGAAAGAATCTTTCAGCAATGCAGAGAACGTAAACTATCACTATCACCAATGAAGTGTCGTCTGTTCATGACAGAAACCACATTCGCAGGGGTGACAGTAGGGTCACAAGGCGTCCAACCAGACCTAAAGAAGCTCACAGCCATTGTAAACTGGAAACAGCCCACTGACACACTTAACCTAGAATCTTTCCTTGGGCTAACAAGCCACTTCCGTGATCTAGTACAGAGCTACACAAAACAAGAAGGACCACTAAGAGACCTCGTCAATGCGGCACCACTCAAAACTCTGTATATGAAGACCACATACCGTTGCATCTTGAGAGACTTCAAGCTCGAAGAATATTAGACAGAAGCACACACAATAGCATTTTTAGATCTAAAAGCAGCATTAGTGTCAAGACCTATTCTCTAAGCGCCAAGATATGATGGATACAACTTTGTAGTCACATCAGACAGATGTCAAGACGGGTTCACAGCTGTACTAAGTCAACAAGTACATCAGCAAAAACCATCAGGCAAATGGGTAGAACACCTACTACCCATTACATCCAAGCAGACATTGAGAACAGAGCAGAAGTATAAACCCTTCATCCTTGAGTTTGCAGCCCTAAAGTTTGGTCTCGACAAATTCTCGGATATGATATGGGGATACCCTGTAGAGATAGAAACGGACTGTCAGGCCCTACAAGATGTCCTGATCAATGACCAACTCAATGTGACACATGCAAGGTGGAAGGACGGGATTCTAGCCCATCATATTGTGGATGTGAGAATCTCTATGCAACTGCAAGCGTGCAATGCATGGAGCATCACAATACCTGATTGAGGAAGAGAAACTGTGGCGACTGCAAGGAGAAACGACAGTACGAGCCCGCAGCAAGGTAGAGTGCATCACAAAAGAAGAAGCAAAGCAAATGGCACAGGAACAGCACGAGAATAAAGGGCACTGGGATAGGGACACCATCAAAATCGCACTAATTAATCAAATCTATAGTGCCAAACTCAATGCATCGATTCTAGAAGCAATAGGAAATTGTGCTAAGTGCAAAAACTTCGGATCACAGCACTTACACTCACTTCTAGAGCCAATCACACGCAGGCATCCATTTGAACTGTTAGTCGGCGACTATTTGACACTCCCAAAAGCACAGGGGTACCATACCCTAGGTGTTTATCTAGACACATTCTCTCAGCACATTTGGGTATTCAAGTACAAGTTGGCAGAAACAGCACGCACAACAATCAATAGCCTATCACAAATATTCCACAACTTCACACCATCAGAGACCTTCATGAGTGAAGGAGGAAGACACTTCAACAATACAGAGGTCAAAGATTATTGCGCTAAGTGGTCTTGCAAAACTCACATTGTGGCAGCATACTCACCATGGATTAACAGTCTAGTAGAAGGTACAAATAAGATTTTGTTGCATGTCCTCAAAAGGTTATGTGCACCAAATCTTGGTGAAGATGACTATGAGGTGATATCTTGGGACAAGCTACCAAGCACGTGGCCGAAACACTTGGAAGCAGTGGTTACAGCACTGAACTACCGGATATTACCAGCATTGAAGTTCTTGCCAAAAGAACTGCTCCTAGGCCAAGTAATTAATACTCTGTGAACAGACCTTGCTAACAGTACCTCAACAATTAGATTATCAGATGCCAACATTCATATGGCATACATCATACAGCAGCATCTAGACAGCTATGAAGCCACAGTATAGCACACCATCAAAAGAAAAGCCACATTCAACAAGAGAGTACTAGCACGCTCACCAAGAGAAGTAATATTCTCAGAAGGACAACTGGTTCAATTCGTTCACAGTAGCCTGCACAATACACTCGAAGCAAGACACAAGCTTTTGCCAAAATGGTCTCCCCTGCATTGCATAGTGGAAAGACTATGCAACTTGTATCGCCTAGAAACAACCCAAGGTGAGCTGCTAGCCGGCAAATTCCATGCCCAGTGCTTGAGAGCATTTTCTCCAAGAGAGGGTACAAAGTTAGCAGAAGAGCAACAGCAGAGGGAAGCATGGATGGAATGACTGAAGGAAATCACCCAAATCAGGAAGATGAAGAAGACAACTCCAATTTGGCAGATGAAGAATGAGATGAAGAAGACACAAAAACAGCAGAAGAAGACTATGAGGAGGAAGAAGAGAACCACAACGATGATGATGATGAAGAGAGTGAAGATAGCAAAGCAGAGAGTGGATGCGACAAGGGTGTCGCTGTTTTTAAAAGGGGGCATATAGAGTAGGGGACCCCTAGGAGGAGGGTGAGAGTAGAGAGAGGTTTGGCGGTGTTTTGGTCGGGTTTAGCTGAGGGAGCATTGTTAGAGCAGCCGGAGGCAATAGGAGGCCTCAGGTCTTAGTTGTCATTCGATAGCAGAGTCTTCGGGCATAGCCCACTCCAACACAAAGACCCCTAATGGTCTTTACCTCTCATTTATTAAGTTCAACAAGGTTTTAACATCCCAGGATCAGAAGATGATAACCTATGAGGAGGTTGTAGAAGCTACACTTGAGGACATTTTTGATGTAGATAGCAAGTTTGTTTTTTAACATAGTCTATATGATTTTCAATGTTGTATATGTTGCAGCTTTGTATGCACAACTATCTGGATAGCAGAATCTCACTTCTTATTCATTGCCCTAGGTCTTGGGCAATAGATGGTCTGATGGCTGAACATATTGCTATCAATGTCTACATCACTCCCCATAAACTTCACAAGTTCCCAAAGGGGATGTCTTACTCTTTATATAAGCATTTTGTGGGCAGATGATCAAACACCACCTTCAATGCTTTATAGAGTAGTGCTGTAATGAGGACATTTAACCTCCTCATTGCTGTAAGTCCCTATTATTGTTTTTCAGAAAAATTAATTGTTCTAATGCTATCCATAGATTCAGCCACCAATTATTAGCATTAGACCAAATACTGATGCAGTGCTTCATTGCTTCAAAATGAGTGATAAAGTGATTCCTAAGTTCCATGAGCTAATAACAACTATATGCAACTGTTGGGAGGCTAATCCTCAGGTCTCCAAAGTGAGGTTTTATATTTGAGCATGCAGTGCATCTGACAAATACACTTAATGCTGACTTGCAGGAGCCTAAATTGAACACAATCCTTGAAGGTATGAACTTAGCATTTTACTAGTCTGATAATGCTGCTAACAATTGCTGCAGTTAAAATTAATCTTAACTAAGACCTTTCAGATGCTCAGAATCATTGTTTGCTTGTATGCACTATGCTTTTTTGGACTTTTATTCATGTAATAAAATGTAGATTGCCATTAATATACCATATTGTTAAGAACATGCTCAAGGATCGAATCCAAAAGGCTTGGCTTCAGCTCATGCGTTGCGCCCCTA